GTGATTATACTAGGTAGCAAGTGTATGGAAGGAATACTCACCTTTGGGAGGCTTTATGGAGTTCACGGCCACCAAGAACAAGTGTGTGTTCTTGGTGTTCTTGGTGAAAGATGAAGATCTTGAAGATCTACTCAAAAAGGCGATTTTTATGGATGGAATCAAAGGATGATTCATGAGTAAGAAGAATAACAAAAACTAGAGGGAAGAATCACTTTCTTTTTGAAGATCGGAAATGAAAATCTCGATGATACTTGAGAGAGAATTCAAGTGTTCTTGAGGTGAAAGTGTAAGAAATGAAGAAAAGTGAGGGAATATGACACTTATGGGCATGAGTTTACGGCTGGCAAGAGTTTACGACTGTAAACTCCTTGTTTGCGGCCGTAAACTCCTGTATATGGAGTTTAAGGCTTGAATGATGTACGATGAACACAAGCAGATACTTCCTAACACTTTATCCTTTAAGGTACTAGGCTTAAAACACCCAAACGGACTCTTAAAAGGGCTAAAAGATAGCAGAAACGAGTATGACACATGGTTGAATTGAATGGTTGGACATACGAGGCAAAAATTTTCGGGTTGTCACAACTACACCATTCATTGGTCTCTCTTACAGTCTTACCCCTAGAAATGGGTAAAAGACCATTTTACCCTTCACTGACCTCCATTACTCATTTGACCAACCCTAAAGTCAACATAAGTCAATTCCAGTCAACAAAGTCCCATCGTTCTCAGTAATCTCATGAAGGTCCAGCTCGTCGAGTTAACCCCTAACTCGCCGAGCCGTCACATGGTAAAGCTCATCGGGACAAACCCTAATCTACTCGCCGAGTTGGCTCATCAACTCGACGAGTCCATTCAGACTCAGCTTGCATTGAGACGATTTTAAGGCAGGATACTTTCCCAAACTCCAGATCCACACTCTCAGAACTCCTTTATCACGTAAAGTCATAGACTTTACGTCCATGCATGGCATTTTGGGCATGAAATGCAAAGATCATGATCTAAATGGGTTTTTCACTCATAAATTTCTCCCAATGCTAAATAAAGCAGGAACCTTTAGATGCTAGGGACCTCCTAGGGTCCAGATCTGGAGTTCAAGCCTCCTCATGAACCCCAAATCCTCAAAGTCCCAAAATATAAAGAAAAGAAGCCCTAATCTTCAAAATGAGAGATCTACTCAAACAAGAGAGAAAGGTTCGAACTTGATACCTCTAACAGAAGCCCTTGGATGTATATTGACATATCTAAAAACCTTATTTTGCTCCTTGCTTGAAACCTTCTCCTTTCCTTGCAAAGATACACCAAAATGCTCAAAGTTAGCTCTCTCTTTCTCTCTATAAGCTCAAAGATCGTTTAGGGTTTCTCTCTGGGAAAAGTGGCCGCAAAGGGAGGCTATAAGTGCCTTTAAATAGGCCACATGCCCGAGAAATTAGGGTTTCCTTCAGCAACGCTGACTCGGCGAGTCGCCTCACAGACTCGTCGAGTACATTCATTAATCCACGTCACCTGCCGCGACTCTACTCGACGAGTTGAGGTACCAATTCGTCAAGTCACTCCAAAATTCTCAAATTAAATAATAAAATATCATACCTGGGAATCCGGATGTTACAAAAGTGATAGATGAGTATTTTTTTTTCTTTTTAATAGATTTGAAATGATTTTTTTTAAGAAACTTTTTATTTAATATAGAAAGAGTTGCATCATTCTAACACATATAAATAAAATAAAATAAACATCTAAAAAAATTACGCACTGACTTTTAATTTTATTATATTTTATAATTTGAAAGAGAATAAAAATTGTTTATATGATTTTGTTTTTAATTTTCGTAATGGTCTTTTAAGTCTAGTATCCATGTTTTGTCCCTCCTTAAGGGATTGTCATTTGAGTTCATTAGTCCGAATAAATCGAATAGCTTACTTTGGTGGCAATTCAGTGTGTCGTTCTAAAAGCTACGCACTGACTTTTAATTTTATTATATTTTATAATTTGAAAGAGAATAAAAATTGTTTATATGATTTTGTTTTTTAATTTTCGTAATGGTCTTTTAAGTCTAGTATCCATGTTTTGTCCCTCCTTAAGGGATTGTCATTTGAGTTCATTAGTCCGAATAAATCGAATAGCTTACTTTGGTGGCAATTCAGTGTGTCGTTCTAAAAGCTACGCACTGACTTTTAATTTTATTATATTTTATAATTTGAAAGAGAATAAAAATTGTTTATATGATTTTGTTTTTTAATTTTCGTAATGGTCTTTTAAGTCTAGTATCCATGTTTTGTCCCTCCTTAAGGGATTGTCATTTGAGTTCATTAGTCCGATTAAATCGAATATCTTACTTTGGTGGCAATTCAGTGTGTCGTTCTAAGGCCCCGTTTGATATGCATCTTTCCAGGTCCAAACAGATCTTTCTGGCTGAATGGACCGGAAAGACTGTTTGATTTGCACAAAAAATGGGTCTTTCCCGGTAAGATATGTCTTTCCCAGAAAGCCTCAAAATCATATCTTTCTGGCTGAATTGGCTGGAAAGACAATTATTCACCAAACCCCGCCTCTTTCTTTCTTTCTTGGATTATTAATTTTTTTTAAATAACTTTTTTAAAATTTATTTTTTATTGAATTATTATTTTTTTTCATCATTCAGCACAGTCAATCAGATGTACAATCAAACAGCATGGTTTCTTTCCCAGTCAGAAAACTTTCCCAGACAGCACTTTATCAGACAACACTTTCCCAGACAGAAACTATCAAACGGGACCTAAGTGTTGTCCAATCTATGTGTCGTCCAATCTATTCTTCGGTAAGTTCAGAAATTAAATTCATGTCTAATTAAGTTATCGGATTTTGTTTTGATTATATATAAAATGTTCATGTCAACTTAAATTCATGTCAACTTATTACGGTATTAATAAATTTTGTTTATATATAAAATGTTCATATATAAATTTTGTTTATATATGGCTATATGCAACAGTTTGCACATGTACAAGGAAATATGGATACGTTCCGTTGTGCAATTTGTATGCTAAGCGCTAAAAATGTCGTCGTTGCATAGTTGAGGGTGAAAATGTGATTGTATGCTAAACTAAAAGACAAGGGCCAAACTTGTCATTATAGCTAAACAAAAGGCTATGAATTGAAATAATAAAAAAATTTGTCAAGAATGGGATTCGAACCCATGCCCTTTCGGACCAGTACCTGAAACTGGCGCCTTAGACCAACTCGGCCATCTTGACTTGTTAATGTTTTTATCAAATGATTAATATAATAACGTAAAAAAAGTAAACAGAATTTTTTTTTTGCTGATAATTGAAAATTTTATATTTAGTTTTTACAGATAGATTTTATTGAAGAAGCTTCGACAGGACAATAAACATTTTTGACTTTTTGCTATATTTTGTGAATTTTATATGGCATCCACTCATGGTGTGGGTTGTTATTATCTAGCACCATAGATATAGCTAGAATAGAATGGTTTATATGCACATAAATACATAAATTCTATTGCATTAGATATAGGGATGAACATTTGAACCGGATCGATTTTCGACTTTGGACTGTATCTGTTGAGGCTTATCAAGTCTAGGTTCAGATCCACATTCAATTCCTGGTTTTTGGACATAAAAATGAACATTTGGATCGGATCAGATCAAGTTTTGAACCGGACCTATTTTACAGAAATTTGTGGACCTTGGACCGGACATGTTTCGATCCGGTCCAGTCTGAAGGTCCAGATGCTCACCTCTAGTATTAGATGAGATGGTGGATACATGACAAGATTAAGATATACACTAACGGTGTAACAAAATATAAAAAAAAAATATTAGTCTACTGAATATAATTACCAAAATTAATGTTTTAAAGAACAGATCCAAACTTATTAGTAATCGACACTTTTAGTTACGAGTTGTTTAAGGCTTTAAGCAATACATTATTGTTTTTCTTGATAATATTCCAATCAAAATTTATTGTCCTATCAACATTACAAAATAATTAATTATAGTATTAGTAGCTATTCATATACTTCTTGATAAGAAATACATTATTGTTTTTTTTATAAGATTCTAATCCTAATTTTTTTTGTTATATCAACATTACAAAATATTTATAGTATTAGTAGCTATTCATATACTTCTTTTATTTATATAAAAAGACGCATTATATTTAACCAGTTAAAAAAACAATTAATTTTATTCAGGGTATATATATCACGTTAGGAAAGTGATTATATATGATTACCAAAGCTAAAAGTCATAAAATGAGACTTGAGTATATGATTATATGATTATTTATATATGATTCTTTATGATGAAAATAATTAGTTTTATAATAGTTACGATAAAACTATCAACAAAAATAAAAATTATTATTTCTTATTTGTCTATTGTTTTACCATAATTTTTTAAAAATTCAGCCGTTTTTTAATTATATATATCTTCAAGTTGTTTTCTTTATTATATATTGTCTTAATGTTATTTATTGGAATTATGAAAGACAAATCTTAAAAAAATATACATTAAGAAATTACTTATAAAATATTATTATTGAAATATCTCAGTTTCCACTAAATTTCCTAAACACTTCAAGCACTAAAGCTAATGCATTATGTTTACAAGATGTTAAAACTTTTGACCCTTAACAAAATCCGACTGTTCACGACTAATAATAGAATCGATCATATTTGTTATCCGAATCGCTAAACTTTCTCAACAATTTTATACTGAGTCTCAATAAGGCTTATGAGATGATAATCAAAATTTTACTTTCAAAAACACCCCAAAAAACTGATTTTTAAACAAAATTTCATTTTTAAAAAATGAAAAAATCGAACCAAGCGAAACCGATTTTTATATAACTATAAAATAATAATAATAATAATAATAATAACCGAACCGGTTTAAAACCGGTGTGATGCACCTCTAAGACCCGGTTGGTGAAAAAGCCCAATAATATGATTTAGAATTATACGGCCCGTTAAAGAGCGCCAATTTGTTTCCCTTGGCTTCAATTGTTTTGCTGCCGGTCGCCGGTGAGGTGTTGCTACTGCGAGGAAGAAAGCCATGGCGTTATTGATGGAGAAGGGTGCTGAACCTCAAACGGAGAGTGAATTAGCAGACCTTGATGCTATCTCTGCTCTCAAGGAGTCCGCTGCACTTGAACTCAAAGTAATCTCTCTCTACTTACTACTTATATATAAACACAACATATTTACCTCGATAATTCAGAATCTGGTTTCTTATACCCCTAGTTTATTGACTCGATAAATGAATAATCCTATGTATTCATTGATCTTAAAGTTGTATTGCTGTACTGTATTTCTATATGTTAATATAGATATTAGTGTGTCATGCTTAACCACAATAATCTGGAAAAAAAAAAAAAGGTAGAAATCGGAGGCCGCTACTCTTGAACTCAGTAAATCTCTGTTTCCATTTCTCTAGTTATTTGAATACAACAAGTTTAGCTCCGGCATCTACTTTCTTATTATCCTGGTTAACGAATTTGATTGTTTGGGTAATTGTATGTTTGGATTGATCTTAAAGCTGTAACGAGAAGAAAATAACCCTCGGTGCTTTATCAGATCAAAAAAAAATATGGTTTAGGTTTTCAGTTTTTCATCCCAGAAGTTTATTCTAGTAAGGTAGTTATAATGTTTTAGATGCCAACTCTAATTACTCTTGATCAAATATGAAGTGAAAACACAGCAACTGATTTGATAAGTAAGAGGAAAACAAAGTGGGTGTAATTTTTTTTGATTGGGAACGTAGGAAGAAGGTAACAAGTATGTGAAGATGGGAAAGAAGCATTATTCAGAGGCTATCAACTGCTATACACGGGCCATAAATCAGAAAGCCTTAAGTGACATGGAGACCTCAATGATATTTTCTAATAGGGCACATGTAAACTTACAACTTGGAAATTATGGGCGTGCTCTTTCAGATTCAGAGGAAGCCATCAAGCTCTCCCCAACAAATGTCAAGGTTTCCTTTCTATTTCTACTTGTATTTGTATACAGTTCAATTTGACATTAATAGGATGATGATCTTATTCAAGTGTCTTCTTCTGTATTTGTTGTTAGGCTTTTTACAGAGCAGCAAAGGCATCATTATCTTTGAATAAGTTGGTTGAAGCACGAAGCTTTTGTGTAAAAGGACTTGATGAGAATCCAGATAATGTAGATCTAAAGAAGCTATGTGAGGTGATTGATTCACAAATATCACAACGCCAACAACACGAGGCCCAAGTTTCCAAAGCTTTGACAGCAGCTAAGGTCTTGATTGATGTTCATATAATTAAAAAGTTAATCTTGTGAAGGCTCTCTAACATGAGTTTATTATGTATGCGTAGGATTTAGTGTCAGCAATTGAAGAGAGGGGATTGAAGATTGGAAAGGCAATGTTCCAAGAATTAACAGGACTGAAAAAGCCGATATTAGATAAAGATCGTATACTTCACTGGCCTGTTCTTCTCCTTTATGCAGAGGTTATGTCTAGTGACTTCATTGAGGACTTCTGTGAGACTGATATGTTTTCACCTCACCTTGACCTCATATCCTTTTTCTTAGCTGCTGCTACAACAAAACAAAACAATTTCACCAAATAATAAATTTAATAATTCTGTTAAGTGGAATCCTTAGCGCTTGAAAACATGTTCTCAGATAGTGGTGCACCATTGCCATGGGATAAGGAGAATGCTTACACTCGTGATGCCATTGAGTTGTACTATGAGGTTAGATCTTGTATGAGGAGGGCATTTATGTCTTTTTCTTGTCCTGCGTACTATGATTTTGTTGTTTAACTTTTTTTTTCAACCTTTGGTTTGGTTTGGTGGGCAGGCGGGATCAGGGTAGGTTTGTCCAAGAAGGAAATTATTAGCAATTTCTTACAGGGTACAGTTGCTTCCCATCTTGAGACATTTGGTGACGATGATGAAACAGATGCAGTTAAACCTTCACCTTCAGTTGGTATGTTATTTATTTATTTATTTTGACTGAAAAATATAATCACAACTGTTTTCTGTTTGGATGAACTTTTCTTTTGTAATTAATATTCAACTGTAGGGGGTGAAGGTGGTTCAAAATGGGTGAAAGTGAACGAAAGAAGAACCCTTCATTCGGTTCTCAAAGAAGACAAATTTGTTATCCCTGGGATTCCTGGTTTGTCACCATCAAAAACCCAACTTCTTTTTTGTTCTTCCATATTTTATTTTTATTTTTTTTTGTTTGGTAATGGTGGGTGCAGTGTTTTTTGCTGTTTCAAAAAGATCAAAGAGCTTCTACAAAAAATTCAAATCTGGGAATTGGTCCCTTCCATCCTGAACCAAGTCAAGTCACATTTAATCCAAAACAAAATCAGACCCCGCCCTCATTATAAAATACTTTTGTATTCATGTTTTAAAAGTTTGGGTGGTTCAACAAGTTTTATTTATAGTCGAATGATTGATTATCTGTTGTCATAATTAATCTCATATCATTAACAACAAAATTAAATACAGTTGCTAATTTATTATTTCTGTTATACTCATTTGATAAAGTCATAGTTTCTTCTTTCTTTCTTTTTTTTTGGACGCCGAATAGTTTATATTAAAACTCTGACGTGCTTGCAAGATGAGGGACAGAAACAGTTCCTTCTTTCATATTGTTATAAGTTGAGAATATTATTATATACTCAAACAACAACTTATTTGATTTTAAAACAAAAATGCATCCAAACGATCCCCTTATTAACTTCAAGTATCAGTTTTAATGATTTATTATTAAATAATATTTTTAAAATACATGTCAAAACCTCTTCCTTGATGAACACTTACAATAAGACATTTTTAATAAATATACTACTTGCAAGTAAAACACTATTTATAGTATGTATTGCCATTCTAAAATAACCTAAAAGATTTACCTGGGAGATTGCTTTATTTGAAGTGTTTGGTAGTTAATTGTATTTTCCTATCGTGGATAAGCACACTTTTGAGTGTTTGGATGCTAGTAAACAAAAAATATTTATTAGCTTAAATAAAACATTTTTTACTTATTTGAAAATATTTTTTATGTATGTAGACCGATTTACCATTTTACTGATGTTTTAATCCTAAAAACCCATGAGTTGCAACCTAATGTTTCTTTGTTAATTGCATTTTGTTAACGTATAAAATAATCATTTACTCCAGTTTTGGTACCTGATGAGCTAATAAACAAAAAAATATAAGTTTGTTTTAAAGAAACAAATCCCAAACACCCCCAAGAGAAATGGTGAAGGTCAAACATCTAAAAAGTGTAGAATTTCTTAGGTGATTGGCTATATAAATATTTTGTAGGGCTAGGGTTTTAGGTAGTTGTCACTTATTTTGTACCTCTCTATCTACAGTAAATGCTTATGACAAACTGACAACTACTACAAGGGAGGAAAGCAACCAAATGTTGAAATACCTAAAATATGTGGGAAACTAACAAATTTACCTTGACAAACAAGGAAAGCATAGAAATCCAGTCAAGTCAGTTGTAGTGGATGATGTGTATTATAGTATAGTATAGTATACAAGTATGAAAGAAAGAGAAGAAAACAAACACCATACATACATGAGGAAGAAAGAAATCTCTAGAATCAGTACAACTTACTTACTTTACTTAGGGCTACCATAATTTACAACCAAACCAAACCTACCGAGTCACTCACTGCTCAGATCAGATGTCTCTTGTTAACAAACATAATAGACTATATATAGTACACACATGGTCATGGTCATGGTCAAACATACAACAAAACGGTCAAAAGTAAGTGTGAGAGAGAGAAAAAAAAAAGGAGCAGGGGACCACAGGAACTGCTAGCTGCATCTGCATCTTCAAACAGTTAGGAGTAGGAGAGCTGGTGCAACTAAGTTCCTGTAACACCAACATCGATGTCTTCCCGTTAATAATCACCACATTTTTCTCTTTATTTTTATTTAAAAAAAAAATGATGATAACATTTCTTTTCTTTGGTACATTTACATACCTTACATAGGCTAGATGTGATATCAAATACTAAGCATTTAAAGCGTCATCCACCCTGAAACATAAACATAAACATAAACAAATCTTATCTTGTTCAATAAATAAATATATCCTTTGTATTATTTGAAGTCATCAATTCATCTCCCTCCCACAGGTGTACTGTGCTGAAGTAAGTATATATATAAATAATATTAACCCTCAGACCTCAAGTCAATAATAATGAGAAAAGACGTAAGGTAAGATGGTGGACTTGGTATTCAAGTAACAACCTGCATGCATGTAGTGTAGTAGTGTAAGTATTATTGTTCTATGTCAACCATGTGTGCTTCTACCGACTGATCAGGTCTGCTGCTAATTTTCATCCCATCACCTCCATTAAATTGAAGGATTCTAAGCTTCCCTTCCTGCCAGTGCCAACACACACACCCCATTATGCATGTCAACCAAATGTTCAAAGAAAAAAAAATACAGAAAATTTCATCATTCTATGCAATGAACTAATAATTTTTTACGATGGCTAAATCAATAAAATGGTGAAAGTAACAGGGAAAAATGTCATTTTTAAATGGTCTAATCAATAGAGGAGACGGTGAAAGTAGGTTGTTTGTCTGAGAGAGAGACCTTTGTGCCATAGACAATACCACCCCCAGAGAAAGGGTGAAAGCAAGCCACATTCACCTCGTCTTCTGCACTTGGAAGCACACTCACCACTTCCATATCCGAAACTCTATATACCTACAACATTCAAAACCTCAATCTTTTTTTATTTTTTTCATATACATTTACAAAAATACTGAAACCCTATTATTTACCTCCAAAACTGTGTAAATGGATAAAGATGCGTCTCCATTGATATCAATGCTTTTCAGAAGAGAGCTATGACGCCTCCCATAAGCAAGCAAGATGTGCTCAGAAGTTGGTGAAAACTGCACCATCAAATCATCAATCAACATTGTAATTGTAAATACTAAATACTAAATATATATGTTATGTTATGTTATGTTATGTTCACAAAAACTCACCTGGATTGATGTCAAACAATGGGCAGCTCTGATTGGCCTTGAGATAAGTACCAAACCAAACCTACACAAGTACAATCAATAGTTATCAGCCAGATTACATTTTTTTTTAATGGTAACAATACAAAAATGGAAATGGAAGGAATAGTCATCTCTTACGTTGCCTCCTCAAGTGAATATATTCTGAGTTCATAGATGACTTGGCGTGCAGAGATAGGATGGCGTGTAGGAGATGTTCCGGGGCCCCTACCCTCTTGATGATGAAGTTGTGATTGTACCCCAGAAATTGAATCACCTTCAAACTGAGGAAGCACACATGCAACACAAGCAGCTAGATATCTCCCACATGCTGAAAAATGAGCACCCATTTCACTGCAACAGCATACAGTACAAACATCAACCCCCACCAAGCTCCTTATTTTTTATTTATTTATAAAAAATTACCTGCAAAGGACAGCATGCGGTATTGTTAGGCGACATCGTTCAGGCTTGAGAGAGGCACATGGATTGTTTGAATCATGAGACCAAATTCTTAGCTTTACAGTGCAAGGCAACTCAGCAGCAGCTGTGGCAGTAAGTGATGCAGACAGTTGAGACTGTATTCGACCAATCATAGGGACAGCCTGTCCTACTCCTACTCCTACTCCTTCGTTTGTTATCGACTCATTCACTGCCACTGGACCACCATTTTGATTTTGATTCATGTTGTATAAAGCTTCTGGATTAGGGTTTGCCCCTGATCTCAGAGGGAAAGTCGATGACGTGGCAGTGGCAGCTTGGTTATGACCTATCAACCATCCTTGCATGAAGGGTAACTCCCAACGTACACGCTCTCTCAACAGCGGAACACCTTCAACATCAGAAATATCCATGTTTTGGACTTGGTTATTATTTACAGTATTATCATTATGGCTGCTGCGGCTGGTGTGTATAGAAGAAGAAGAATCCATCAGTTGTTGCTGTGTTGGATTTGCATTTGCATGGAATAGATGTTGATCAGAAGAGGATTGTGGCCTTCTTGAATCAAGTCTTGTGGTTGAAGGAGAGGAGAAGAGAGGCAAGGGCATTAATGGTAATTCTGCTGCTAAACTTAAACGGTCTATGCGATGCATATTGCCCATATATACAGCAGGAGGGGGATAATGCAGATAACCTAGAGATGTTGCTGGTGCCATTGAAGAATCTGAGGAGTCAAGATCGTTCACCTGCAAAACATTTAAAACAAGGGAAGGGCTATAGCAATGTAATTTCATTTTTTTTTATTATTATTAAGACATTCTATCTACTCAATTATAGTAATGAAATTTTCTTTGTATTGGGATGAAATTGTTATAACTGAGTAGCTTTTTGAAAGCACAACCATAGTTGCTACCCATGGAAAAAATGTTACCTCAGCGGTTAACAAAAGTTGAGCAGAATGTGGATGGAAATGCACAGCCCGTAGAGAACGCCTTGTCCTTAATACTATAGCAGGTGAGGAGGTCTCTCCTCTGCTGCTGTACTGCCATAAATACAGCTGAAATTGAAAAACTCCCATCAATATTATGCCTCTTAAATTTACAAAAGAACTAAAAATAGTTAAACATGAAAACCTTTCTACAGACATTACCTTATGGCCTGCAGCAACTGCAAGCACTTCTCCTTCTGAATGGAATGCAATGGAAGCAATAGGCCGGTCTGCAATAAACAAAGATATGCAGACATAAGACACACACACACACATATATATGTAACAAGCCTGATTTTGTGTGCTATATTTAATCTTATATGTGACTATCCTAAATGGTAAACCTCTTATATTTTTTATATTTGCTTGATCTATTAGGAGGGAGGTCCATCAATATCTCAAGGGAAACAAAATGTTTAGTAATTACAAAAATCACGGGATCCTATGCATTCTGATGTGTTTGCATTCCATAAGCGAACTTCATGGTCTAAGCTTCCACTCGCGAGTATTTCTGGACGCAACGGGTGGAATCTAACCTGTAAAAAACAAAAAAGAAAGTAAAATGTTAAATTAATTAGGTCACAATTTCAAAGAACAAGTTAGCAGAAAATGACTGTAAAAACTAAAAAGGAGTTGATGCATTTGTTATCTTACCACCCAAGGTGTTCTTCGATGTCCACTCAAAACTTTTAGACATTTCCCAGTTTGGCAGTCGATTATTTTTACAGTATGATCACCGCTGTCAACCCCAAAATGAACAACTTCAATTAATATAACAAAAAAAAGGTGCTAGAAACAAATTACAACTACAAAGACAGTTAACAACGTACTGAGTAGATGCAAGAATTTTCCCATCTGAACTAAATGCTGCTGCAATAGTCGACCTTGGTGAAGGCATTAATGAACAATACTTGGCTGATAAACACTGCAAGGACTCAGCCTCCACCCTATAAAAACAGTTAGTTATTAAAAATGAGACATTTGCACTTTGACTTTTTTTAGTTGACATCATTAAGACATACCATGAATGAAGTTCGCGCCTTGAGTCCCTTGCACTTTCGCTTTTGGGCTTAACAAATGACCGGTGGTGATGCTCAGAAGTTCCACTACCCTGCCTTCTTGGCAAATACTTTTTTATTCTTGGAGCTATCTCTCTCTTGGCCAACATTTCGAGCACATTCCTACTACTGAGAACATATACCTGTTAGATGTCTAATATCCAAAAAATTCCACCACTAACAAATCTTGCACAATGCTATCTTTAAACATCAAGACACAATTCATTTGTTTTAAAGTTAGAACACAAGATATGCAAATCTAGAAGAAGTAAGAACCTATATAGAAAAACATCATGCACAAGTTATGAGAAATAAAAGAAGCCTCCAACTGGCTGATTTGACAGAGCAATTGAACAAATTCATCTGAGACTATACCATCAAACAACCCAACCATGGAACAAGGAAAGATGGTAGGGATCACAGTTTACTTAGATCAAAATAGAAACAACTAAGATAGGATGTAGGTTATACTTCTTTCAGAAATGATAGTCTAATCTGAATTATGCATCACTGATGGACATCAATATTCCAAATAAGAAAACTAATAATCACATATAGCACCAGTGATCTAAGACATGATCACGCGGCTACTTGGAGTCTTGGCTGTGAGCTTAAACTGACTGTAAATCTGTAACCAATCTCAAGTGTGCTGATTATTTAGGGAAAAAATCAGATTTGAATAATCAGGTGAATTTCTAAAAGTAGCAATATTTACTTTGAAATCGCACATCCAAACACTCCTTGAAAAGATCTAGCTGGATTTCTAAGAATTACATACACCAACTGGCAATAACTCCCTACCTTTCCTAGTTGCAAAAGTTGAAAGCAAACCAGACGACCAGATTACATCAACATATCCTACTGTCAACTATTCGATTAAAATATCAAAATTCAGCATCAATCCATTTAGATTCTTAAAAATTTCACATCAAGAAACGAAAACTGAATTCAATTAATATATAATCATGAGGAGAAATATAATTCGAACTCACTTGTGATGGATTGGTGAAGGTGAGGATGATAGATCATCTAGGTATGAATTTGTCTTCATGATATCCATTCATATAAATCTAACTTGAAGATGTCTTCTTTAAGAAGTAGACACGGGGAGCAGAGAAATCGAATACATAGAAACCCAGGTTTTAACAGTCGATCTCCCTTGGTTACTCTATGATTGGATTTAAGAATCGAAATTTAGATTGAGAAACCCTAGCAAGCGAGCGAGAGAGGTAAATCCGGACGATGTCTGAATGATATGCAACAAACAAACAAAGGGGACAAATCTTTCTTCTCTCTCTCTCTCGCTCACTCTAACATCCAACAAAACTCGACTTATTATTTATATATACACAAACTCGCAAACACACTGTATAAATGGAAACGGGTCGGGTTTGGGCCGGTTTGTGGGACTCCATCCTATAAATCGATCGTCCCTAAAAAGGTAAAAAAATAGATAATAAATGTCGCAATATCTTCAAACCAACAAATATACTTAAACGATTAAATAAATGATGCCTCAACATCATCAAGTATCAACCATCAACCAACTAAAACCACAATACCAAAGAAGCATGCTATTACAAAAAAGTTTAAGAATACAATCCAAACATCCCAATTAATTGTTACTAAGGGGGTGTTTGGCATTTCTTGTTAATCATCTTTTTGACTTTTAACTTTTTCAAAAAGTTAAAAATTACTAAAAGTTGTTTGGCAAGATCTTTTAAAACCAACTTTTAGTCAAGAAGGAAAAGTTGGCCGGAGAAAAGATAGGAATTCCTATCTTTTTGTGACTTTTAGCTTTTATCACTTAAAAGTCATAAAAGACAAGCCAAACACATTTTAAACACCATCTTTTTAGACAAAGTTCTTTTACAAAAAGTCATTTTACAAAAAGGACTTTTATGTTCAAAAAGCAATCCCAAACACACCCTAAGCTTCAAATACTTTTATTGTAGGTGCTCATCTTTAATTGTTAAATCTTACATCCTTGCTTTCTAAATGAGTCGTAGTCCTTCAAAAATATTGTACCCAACAGTTTTTTTGCTTTGTTTGATCATCTCGAATATATTGGTGTGGCCAAGAGAGAATTAATCGCCAAGGGTAATGCCTGATTTGTGCATATGTGTCCATTGTGTCACCTTGATCCAAATGTCGAGGGATACAACCAAGGAACATAAAAACACACACATACATACACTCGTGGTGTTATTTAAATATTGTCGCTTAAGATCCTTATATTTATGTGACATTAAAAATTATAAAATTATGATTATCATTTAAGATTCCTGTTTTGTAGAACTTTAATTTTGCCATTTCTTTTTAATTCATCATTGACGGTTTCAGGTTCACAATTGTCAAAGAAATAGATCATTAATTGTTAGAGATACAAGAACTAGGAAGAGATACATGATATTCTTAAATCTCACACACATTTTCAAACAACCATATGCTTATCTTTTAGTTGTTATAACTGTGAGGGTGCAAAATATAAATTCATATAAAAACCTTTTCATGATAAAATATTGTTAATTGCTTGGTGTACCTTCTCTAATGTGAGTGAGTGGGTGTTTGACTGAATGGTACATATAGCAACACTTTAACATAGATCATGAATTCATGTTCAACACTGCGTTCATACTAGTAAAATTACTATCTTTTTTGTGACTGATTGCACAGTCTACAACAAATATGATTCGTAAGATAAAGTTGAAACATTTTTATAGCATCATTGAATGCACTTAAGTAATTAAATTTTTTTTTTAATACAAGCAAACCTTCGTGATTGTATATAAAAATGAATAATTCATTTTTATGTAAAATTAAAAGCTTAGTTGAAAATAAAACGAGTCAAGCAATTTGAAGGTCTACTCTACAACCTCTTAATATGACAACATCAAGAAAGTTTATCACCCAAAATCCATATTTATCAGTTTAGTATAACAGTAACTAAATTCAAATATCGGCTTTGGTTCTGTGAACACAAAAACCAGAAATTCCAAATAGATGTCTAACTACAAAACGTATAGAAGATACAGCAAGCAAGAAACAAACAGGTAGCAAAAATGGCTATTTTACATGAAGAACACTAGAACCAAAATAAGTCAAAAACACATTCAGAAAAGAAAAAGATGTTTTGACTTGATAATAATTACAAGTTATGATTACATATCTCATATGAGCCCCTTCAGATGCATCTTTTGTGATGGATTTGGTCCCCATATGCGAATGGTTTGATCATCACTAGCTGATGCTAGCATTTGATGTCTCCTAGGATTCCAGCTCACACAGTTTACAGTCATTGAATGACCAGAAAGCACCTCAATTGGATCAGATCCACTTCGATTCCAGATATACACCTGCTCTCACAATTATCAGAGAATAAACTTAAGGATATAATGAGTTGATGAAAGTTAGGGATAGTTAGGTAATTTCACAGGTATATATATATACCTGTGAATTTTCGCTGCCACTGGCAATAAAGGTGCTATTGACCCCACCAAAGCAAGAACGAATGACATATTTATGTTGCCTGTGGCCCTTATATCTCAAAGGCTTTTCCCATAACCCTTCAACATCCCACATATGAATCTCTTGGCTATTAAGATTAACAATCAAATACTTGCTGTCACCAGAAACCGAAAGAGATGTAATCGGATGTTCTTCAGAGATAACTCTTTCAGCATTTGTAGCCACGTTTAGTATCCGAATATCTTTATCTGAAAAAATAGTAATCAGATATTCACCATTTGGAGTAACAGCAATATCTAACACCTTTGGCATCCGTGTTCCTCTCCATGCTTTAATCTCATTGCCTTCACAATCCCACATGCAGATGCCTTTTTTAGGGTCTGAACTACCACACACGAGTCTCTTTGAGTCTGGAAACCAAGCACAGGAGCTAACAAGGAAGCTGTTATCACCAAATGTGTGCTTACATGTACCTGTTTCCACATCCCAAAGCCTAAGGACTTCTGTGTTCCCACATGTCAATACCATTGTGTCATCGGGGCTCCAGATTACAAAAGAAACCGGGTTTTGATGACTGGATAATCTATGTTTCAAAACTAACTTCCCATCTTCTTGTATCTGTACCAAAACTTTCAAGAATATGATTCGGAAAAAAAATAAAAAAAAAATCATGCTTTTTCTATGGATTGTAACTTTGTAAGAAGTAAACATAACATGTTACATGGACATATAAGTTATAAGTTATGCATATAATAAAAGCACCCACCTCCAAAATGATCATTAAATTTAGATTTCCCTAAACATAAGTCAAGATTCAAGAAAGTCATGAAAGTTTGATTTCCCTCAAGACATATGTATATATATATGTCTTACCTGAAATGGCAGTTGGAGACACTCAAGCCACTATGAGACTAAGTGCCCAACTCCCCTGTTGTGCATAGTTAACAAGGTTAACTTCCCTGAACAATGGAACAGACAAGTGTTATGGATTTTAAAATCAGTCTCCTAATTCTGGTGCATGAAGAAAGAATCTATTTATGCATTCGTATCTTATCCCATTTGATTCCACTGCTTTTATATGTAACGCATAATTCAACAAATATTCTAAGAATAGAATCTCTAGAGTATCGATTTTGTTAAGGACATAATAGTTACCTTCCATATAATTGCTGTACAATCACTTGATGAAGATGCCAAATAATCCCCATTGTTAGAGAACTGAACAAACCAAACTTCATTCTTGTGGTCAGACAAAATCTGCAACAATTTTTCAAAGAGATTACTCCATTAAAAGATCAGCATGAACTATTTACAATTTGAACTAACACACCTGAATGGTTTCTGTAGGGATCTGATCCCTACCACAAGAATGATTCTTATAGATTGATACTGGATCCAGAGAATTGTGGTAGATGCATGAATCAATTTGGGAACCAACCACCCTTTCAACCAGATGTTCCAATCTTCTATCAGGTACAGTGATTGGTGGTGGAAGCAATTTCTCCAATTCATTTACTAGATTCCTTCTCAGTTCTTGAAAAACATCACAATCATCATGAACTTTATCTAAACCAAGCTCCCCAAGTGAAAACAAACTAAAAGCAAGCTTGTGAACTTTCTCTCTTCCCACTTGTAATTTGGAGATTTGTTTACGCAAAAGGGACAAAGCTAAAGAATCATCCCCTCGGCCCAAACACTCCAACAAACACTGTTGGGAAACAAGAAACAAAGCTGTGTCTCTTTGTTCATCTGTCATGTTCTTGATCCCATAAAGACTATCAATACAACCCTCCCAATCAGCACCAATTATTGAAGATTCAAGCAACTTAAATTCCGCCGATTTGTATGAAATACCAGATTCTGATTCCAAACAAGCTGCAGATTTCTCATAACCTAAAGAATAAAGACACTGGATAAGAATCCTTACGAACTCGTCCCTTTTAATTAACCCTTTTGAGCCAATCATTGTCGCTAAATTCTCCATGAATCAATAAGTCCTTTTCTATGCTCCAAGATTCTCATACCTTTCACTTGCCATTTACCAGAATATGCAGCAACCCAACTGTCGTCATGGCACTGATAATTAAAGCAAAACAAAAACGAACATCAACTTTATGACGATTACACAAAGATTAGAATTTCTATATCTGGCTAGATGCAAGTTGTATGTAGGTTTTATACATGTGGAATCCTACTATCCTAGACTCTCAGCAAACCAACAATGCCACAAACACATATACGTTTATTAGCCTCGACATCCAAAAGTTTTTTTTCGACGTTGACAATCAACAGGGAGAATTTCAACCCAATAGAGTATTGAAGATTGAGATAGACAGCTTAAGATGATTATTGCCCGTTGACTTTAAATACCTTATCGAGTAAATTAATTCTACTTGAATTAAAACAAGTTGGGAACCAATACTGAAAACAAACAATCGAGAAATTGAGAAATACACCGATTAAGAAACGAAACAAAGAGACACGAAATAGAATTAAATTGAAGTACCTCGTGGTCGACTGGATTATGTTAGACGAGCGAACTTACAGATTCCACTGAATTCGATCAAATAAATGGCTTTAATAGTTGATTGAATGAGATTAGTAAAACCCTAAGTGACAGTGGTGATTAATAGAGAAGAAAATCCGGTGGGGGGAAGGTGAGATTGGTGCAGTTTTCAGTCGCCGGGGGTGAGAGACGGAAAGAGGGGCTATCACTTATCAGATGCGTTTTTTTTTTTATTTAATTTTATTTTATTTGGATAATTTTACTTGGTAGTTGGTAGAGACGAAGGGGACCAACATGTCCCAAGTTGCTTTTAAAAGGAGTAAATTACACGAGTGAGATGTGCCAAAAGGCATGTTCCGTTTCTAATTTCAAAAATTAACTCGGATCGTCCCTCATTTGTTTAAAACTTGGGCACTTAATTCCTTCGGACATAAAAAGACCATTTTACCCTTAATAATTTCTTTTTTAATTTTCTTTCATTTATTTATCATTTTTAAATTAAAAAAAGAAAAAAAAAATCCCCCACTAACCCACCCCTCCCGTTTCCCTTTTCCCCTGTTTGCTTTCGCCCCCGACTCTCTTGAAACAAAAATGGTGGACTACTCTACCTCTCTCTGCTCCGGCGTCAATTCTCTTCCGTCTCTCACTCCGTTTCCGGCGAGAAAACCATCTGACAACCCTGAAACTCGGGCTACTATGTAAAAAATAACCTCGTCATCTATCATATCTCTGGATCTGTAATTGGATTCCGACGAGAGAGCCTGTCAATGATGAGGTCTTGGTCGCCGGATTCACAAAAGGACGAAACTTCTTCACCAGAAATCGTTCGCCGGAAAGGCTATGACGGATCGACGGCGTCACTGTGTGCGGAACTCTGGCGTATATTATGTGTGGAATTCCGGCGTTTACACTCCCTAATCGATGATGGTAATTTAACAAACAGGTTATCTTCACCACCCAACACAGCTTCATCTATCTCTAAAACCAATGCTTCGTTTTCTAAATTACATCAGATTCAGAAAAGCAAAACACAACAAGTGGCGATTTTTGCATTAGGGAATTGAGTTTGAATTTGTAGGTTTGATTTTGGGTTTGCATTTGAATTTCAGGTTTGATTTTGGTTTTGGGTTTGAGTTGTAAATTGGACTTTTGTTTTGGATTTGAGTTGCAGGTTCGGGTTTATATGTATTTTATTAGGTAACTTTGTGTTGAGTTTGGGTGATTTCTATGGTACTGGATCCATGGTCGGAGATGGTGACCAGAGCTGTTGCCGGGCATTAATTCTGTGGACGGAGATGGTGACCGGAGGTGGTGTCGGGCATCGGATTTGTGAACGAGGATAGTGATCGGGATCTTGAAGAACATTAAATGGTCTGGAAAGGCAATAGAGAGATGAAGTAGGGGTAATAATATTTTTCTTTTTTCTTAATTAATAATAATAATAGTTATAATAATAATAATAATGATAATAATAACAACATTAAATTAATTGGAAAAGAAATACCAAAAGGGCATAATAGTCATTTTAGGTAGCGTAAGGGATGAAGCGTGCAAAATTAAATTAATTAGGGATGAAACGTGTAGTTTTTAACCAAACAAGGGATGATCCGAGTTAATTTTTGAAAATAGGGACTAAACATGTCTTTTGACACATGTACGAGGGACGTTTCGTGTAATTTACTCTTTAAAAAAAGTGATTATAACTTTGTTTGAGTATGAATGTATAGTTTAAAATAGATTTAACAATAAATTACGTCTCTCGTGCATATGTCAAAAAACATTTTTAGTTTTTTATTTTCAAAAATTAATTCGGACCGTCCATGTATTATGTTTTTTTCACTCGGTAAGTCCCTAAAGACATAAAATGACTATTTTACCCCTAGTAATTTCTTTTTTATATTTTTATTATTTGTTTATCATTTTTTAGAATTAAAAAAAATAAAATAAAATAAATAACCACCCCCCTCAACCACACGTTCAACCCAATATTTTCCCTTTTCGTTTTCCATTTTCCTTCTGCCTCTTTGGAAACCAAGTCGTTGGACCACCATCGACATCAGTGGGATTGACAGATTTTCTACTGATAGTTGCAGACTTTTGACCCGGTGTGGTCGGGTATGGGTGTCATTTTCTGGAAGGGTCCGGCAGATAGTGTTGGAGGAGACTCGTAAGTTCAGGTTCTCAATTCACCCTGGAGCCACAAAGATGTATCGGGACTTGAGATTAGTTATTGGTGGCTACGCATGAAGCGATAGATTGTATGGTATGTGGAGAGATGTTTGACATGTCGGATGGTTAAAGCCTAGCACCAGAGGCCGCATGGCAAGTTGCAGCTCTTAGAGGTTCCCATGTGGAAATGGGAACAGATCATTATGGATTTCATCACCAAGTTGCCGAGGACGGCTAACGGTTTTGATACGATTTGGGTTATCGTTGATCGGTTGACCAAGAGTGCCCACTTTCTTGCCATTCGGGAGAGTTCTTCGGTCGAGAAGTTTGCCGACGTGTATGTACGCGAGATTGTCGCTCGCCACGGTGTACCGGTTTTTATTGTATCTGATCGTGATGTGCGGTTTACTTCTCGGTTTGGCATAAGTTTCATGAGGAGTTGGGTACGAGACTGCTTTTCAGCACCGCTTATCACCCTCAGACCGATGGATAAAGTGAGTGGACCATTCAGACACTCAATGATATATTAAGGGCTTGCGCCATCGGTTTCGGTGGGAGTTGGGACTCCTGCCTTCCCCTAGTTGTGTTTTCTTACAACAACAACTATTATTCTAGTATTGGTGCACCGCCTTTCGAGCTTCTCTATAGAAGGAAATGTCGTATACTAGTTTGTTTGGTAGAGGTCGGTCACAAGGTCATTGGTAGGATCAAGGTGGTCCTTCAGACTACGGAGCTTATCCAACATATCATGCAGAGATTGCAGACATCCCAGAGCCGACATAACAGTTATACCGACCGACGACGATCTGAGACAGAGTTTTAGGTCGGGAATATGGTTTTACTGAAGGTATCACCCTGGAAGGGTGTTATACGCTTCAAGAAGAGGGGAGAGTTGGGGCCCCGATTTATTGGACTGTTCCGAGTAGTGGCCAGGGTAGGCAAGTAGCATATTGACTGGATCTACCTGAGGAGCTTAGTCAAATCCACAACACATTCCATGTTTCTCGACTTCGGAAGTGTGTGGTTGATGATTTCGTGGTGGTTCCCATAGACGACATTCAATTCGATGAGCGCCTGAATTATGTGGAGAGGTCGGGGTGGCTATTGTGGAAGACGAGGATATGAAGAAGGCCTGATACCATGAGATGATGAGGAGCAACATTCGGCAGTTTGTTAGTCGATCCAACTGCAAGACGCTGGAAGACATGATAGCGAGGGCTAGGGAGAGGGAGATTGACTCGGAGATGGATAGAAAGAGGAAGCCAGATTCTACTGTGAGTGTTGAGGGTTCGGGCAAGCGGCCCAAGGTATCTGATTCCAAGCTGAAAGGCCAACATGGTCGTAGCCGTTGTGGCAGGTGCGACAAGGCGCATGAGGGAACGTGCAGAGTGGGTGGTTCTGGTTGCTTCAAGTGCGGTCAGACTGGTCATATTAGCATAGATTGTACTGCTACCACCCCATCACTCTGGTATCTGATCTGATTTGTTTTCTGTGCAATAAGATGGGCCACAAGAAGGCCCATTGTCCGAGTTTGGTTGCGGCAGGACCGGTGTCAGCACTTGCTCCTGCGACATTGAGGATTACTAATGGCCATCAAAGTCAGGCAGATGCGCCAACGGCGAAGAGCAGGGTGTTCCAGCTGACTGCGGAGGAGACGCGAGCAGCACCTGATGTTGTGACAAGTATGTATTTTCTCCTTATCTCTTTATTTTATTTTGAATTGTTGCTTATGTTTATGTGTTTTATTTTAGGATCGTTCCTTGTGAACGGTATCTCCGCCTTGGTATTATTCGATTCGGGGGTTACCCGATATTTTGTATCTCTTACGCTTAGCAAGAGATTTGTTGGAGCTCCAGGAGAGCTTGATCGTTCTCTTAACGTGGAGATTGTTGATGATAGGTCTATTCGGGTTACGAGGGTTCATCGAGGGTGTACCCTTCAGTTATTCAGTGAGCAGTATCTAGTGGATCTGGTTCCTATTCCTTTGCGTGGGAACAAGGTTATCGTGGGCATGGATTGGTTGAGCCCTAATGAGGCAATGATTGACTGTGAGCAGTAGTTGGTTCGGGTTCGGACCCTGAGTAGGGGGAGTTGGTCATTCAGGGTGAAAGACCGCAACGTGGACCGGTTATGTATTCTGCAGCGAGGGCCAAACACTATCTTCATCAAGGTTGTGCAGGTTTCATCGCCTATGTCTTGGATACCCGAGATAAGGGTAAGGCGACCGTGGACGATGTTCCAGTTGTGCGGGAGTATCCGAATGTGTTCCCGGAGGATTTGCATGGGGTACCTCCGGAGAAGAAGGTGGAGTTCAGGATTGATTTGGTTCCAGGTGCGGCTCCGATAGCCAAAGCACCGTATCAGTTGGCTCCTCCCAAGATGCAGGAGTTGTCTAAGCAGCTGCAGGAGCTGTTAGACAAGGGATTTATTAGGCCGAGCAGTTCGACTTGGGGAGCATCAATTCTGTTCGTGAAGAAGAATGATGGGTCTCATCGCATGTGTATCGATTATCGGGAGTTGAATAAGGTAACGGTGAAGAACCATTATCCACTCCCGAGAATTGATGATCTCTTCGACCAGCTTCATGGTGCATATAGGTTCTCAAAGATTGATCTGTGATCGGGTTATCATCAGATGCGAGTCAGGGACGAGGACGTGCAGAAGACGGCTTTACGGACTCGCTATAGTCATTATGAGTTCGTGGTGATGCCATGTGGGCTCACCAATGCTCCTGTCGCATTCATGGATCTCATGAACCGCGTGTGCAGACTGATGCTGGATCAATCTGTGATAGTCTTCATTGATGATATCTTGGTTTATTCCAAGACGCATGAGCAACATGAGGAGCACTTGAGGGAGGTGTTGGAGACTTTGAGGAGGGAGAGACTTTTTGCAAAGTTCTCCAAGTGCGAGTTATGGTTGCACGAGGTGCAGTTTTTGGGGCACCTTGTCAATCAGAAGGGTATTCTGGTCGACCCGGCCAAGGTCGAGGTCGTGATGCAGTGGGAGGTTCTGAGGTATCCATCTGAGATTCAGGAGTTTTCATGGTTTAGCCGGGCTATTATCGGAGATTTATCCAGGATTCCTCCAAGATTGTTGTTTCATTGACCCGACTGACCAAGAAGTCGGTGACATTTTACTGGGGGCCTAAGTAGCAGACAACTTTCGAGAATCTTAGGCAGCGATTGTGTGAGGCGCCGATTCTGACCCTGCCAGAGGGTGTTGATGATTTTGTGGTTTATTGTGACGCATCGATCACGGGTTTGGGTGCAATTTTGATGCAGCGGGGTCGCATGATCGCTTACGCTTCGAGGCAGCTGAAGCCTCATGAGGCGAATTATCCGACGCAGGATTTGGAGTTGGGGGATGTGGTTTTCGCCCTCAAGATTTGGCGGCATTACCTCTATGGGGTTCATTATACTATTTCCACGGAACACAAGAGCCTGAGGTATTTTGATGGATCGGCCGAACTTGAACATGAGGCAGCGTCGTTGGTTAGATGTGGTGAAGGATTATGATTGCGAGATCCTGTACCGCCCGGGAAAGGCCAATGTGGTGGTCGATACTCTTAGCTGCAAGACGGTTGCGGCTCCGATCAGAGATTTATGTTTGAGGATGACCGTGGATACTCCGTTGTTGGAACGGATTCGGGAGGCGCAGGTTGAGGCTATGAAGGAAGAGCGTCGGAAGTGTAAGCGGATAGTGGGGCAGGTGGCATCCTTCGATTATGATAACCGGGGATTGTTGACTCTGCATTGGAGGGTCTGGGTTCCTTATTGGGGCGGTGTGCGCCAAGTTCTGATGGAGGAGGCTCACAAGTCGAGATTCTCCATTCATCCTGGGGCGACGAAGATGTATAGGGATCTTCGCCCTGATTATTGGTGGCCCTGCATGAAGCGGGATATAACATGGTTTATGGAGCGGTGCTTGACTTGCAGGAAAGTCAAGGCCGAGCATCAACGACCTCACGATAAGATGCAGCCGTTGGAGATTCCCGTATGGAAATGGGAAGACATCACGATGGATTTTATCACAAAGCTTCCCAGGACTACGCGCGGGGTGGATTCTATTTGGGTCATCGTGGATCGATTGACCAAGAGCGCGCATTTCATCCCGATCCAGGAGAGTATTTCTGTAGAGAAGCTAGCCGATATTTATGTTCGAGAGGTGGTCGCACGTCATGGGGTGCCAGTATC